ACCCCACAGGTAAAGGTGACCCCGTGCCCAGGTCCTTAGACAAAGAGCATCTCAGGCCAATACAGCAACAAGGTTCTGAACCTGGAGCACCATTTATTCCCCCAGAGTCCTCACTGCTCTTTCCTAACAGAAGGGAGTCCATCTGCTCTTCTAGGCTATTTTCACCCCAGGCCTAGCTCCTGTGAGCATGCACAGAGCCTCCCAGCCCATGGGACACCTCTCTGGGTCCTCTCCTGCAGTTAGTCTCCACCCTTTCAGGGCTTGGCTCCAGTCATCCTCTCCATGAAGCCTTCCTTACCCCTAGCCCACAGACCATTCCCTTCTCTGCCCTCTCGGGGTTTGATCCTCGCCAACTCTCTCTCCTCTGATCTCTTTTCTCCCAGCAAAATACTGGGTTCATTCACTTACTCATTTACTCACAAACAGTAAGAATCTATTTGGTGTTGGGTTAAGAGCCCTTACCTAGAGTCCCACTGTGACCACACTGACTCCTGGCTCCACCACTTAGCTGCTGTGTGACTCTGAACCAGCCACTTATCTGGGCCTCAGTTTCTTAATGTAAAATATGGGAGTCGTGATAATCACACCTACCTCACAGGGTTGTTGAAACATTACATGATTTAAGAATTGTACAGGCCGGGCATGGTGGCTCACATCTGTAATCCCAGCACTTTGGAAGGCTGAGGCAGGTGAATCACTTGAGCTCAGGAGTTCAACATGGTGAAACTCCACCTCTACAGAAAATGCAAAACCTGCTAAGCATGGTGGTGCACGCCTGTGGTCTCAGCTATTCAGGAGGCTGAGATGGGAGGATCACTTGAGCCCAGAAGCAGGTCAAGGTTGCAGTGAGCTGAGATCATGCCACTGCAGTCCAGCCTGGGTGACAGAATGAGACCTTGTCTCAAAAAAAAAAAAAAAAAAAAAAAATTTTACAGTTCTTGGGTCAACACCATATACCACTTGTCATTTTTATTATAGAATCTACCATTTGCCAGATACTCTGAGGCACCAGGAATATACAAATAACAAGTGCAGAAACTGACCAGTCTAGTTGGACAGGCAGACGCATAAACCAGCAATCACAAGGCAGTGTGACTAATGGAGGAGGTATGGCAGCACAGAGAGAAGCAAGCAGTTACTCAGCCTGCCCTAAAGGCAGGGCAGTCAGAGAAGCTTCTCAGAGGTGGTGACATTGAGAGCTGAGCCAGTGATAGAGAAGTGTGTAGCAAGAGTCGGGGTACACTGGTCTGGCAGTGTGAGGCAGCTTTCCCTGGTCCTGGAATGGGGGTGGATTGCATGCTGGGGCTGGGCATGGAGCATGTAGAGACAAACACTGGAGAGAGAGCCCTGATAGTGGAGAGGAGACCCTTTCGAGGAGTGGGCCTCCTCCCATTGCAGTGGGGAAAGTGCTGGCAGTTTTAGTAGAATGAATTGAATTCTGGACAGATCACTTCAGTGAACCATAGTGGACCCCCTCAGGAGACTGAGGGAGGTGAAACCAGGGCTCTCTGTGCAGCCTTACAGTATATTCCTGCACAGTCAGTCTTGCCAGGGTCCTTGGGTCCTGGCCCTGGTGGGACAGCTGCCCACAGTACCTATACATCCCCAACAGACTTCAGGATTACATACAGTAACGCCCTGTCCATCTGCCCCTACTCCTTCCTGCTGCGATTGCAGCTCATGAACTCTCGCTCTGGCTCTCCCCACTGGTCTCCATTCTCACCCTTGCAACAAGCTCACTCTTGCTAAAGCCTTAGCTCCCAATCACAGCTCACCCTGACCAGAGCAAGCCCATCCCTTCTCCCTCGGTCTCCCCACCCCACCTCATTGGACTCCCAGCTGCCTGGCTGAGACTTGCCCTGTCTCATGTTCCCATGGATGACTCATGTTTTGGGCAGGGGTGAGGCCACGCTGGGGCTGCCGAAGCACAGGGAGAGTTGGTGGCAACAGCCCTTCCCTGGTCTCACAGGCCCAACTGAGCAAAGGTTTTCCATCTCATGCATGTCTACTGGCACTATAAGAGCCTGTTTGTGCCCCCAAAGAGGTCTTGACCCCACTCCGAGGTCTAGCCAAGCCTTCCCGGGGTAAAGGCCTTTGCTCCTTCTTGGAAATTCAAAGTCATGAAAACCAAAGCAGTGAGAACACTAGTGAACCCAGGAAGCAGGATGGCCCCTCCTCCATCAGAGAGGTAAAGACTCCCCAAAAAGGTCATGGATCTTTTTTAAAACCTGGTCTTGGCTGGGTGCGGTGGCTCACGCCTGTAATCTCAGCACTTTCGGAGGCCAAGGCAGGCAGATCACAAGGTCAGGAGTTCGAGACCAGCCTGGCCAACATAGTGAAAACCCGTCTCTACTAAAAATGCAAAAAATTAGCCGGGCCTGGTGGCGGGTGCCTGTAATCCCAGCTACTCGGGAGGCTGAGGCAGGAGAATTGCTTGAACCTGGGAGGCGGAGGTTGCAGTGAGCCGAGATCGCGCCATTGCACTCCAGCCTGGGCAACAGGGCAAGACTCCATCTCTAAAAACAAAACAAAACAAAACAAAACAACAAAGAAAAAAACCAACAACAAAAAAACCTGGTCTTGAACCCCAGACCTCTGTGCTGTGAGTGATCTTACAATCTTCAGACAGCTCCCAGACTCTTACAAATGATAGTAAACGATCACCCCATTGCAACCAGCAGCACCCACACTGCTGCATACAAGGAGCCTACTGCGTTCTAGGGTCTGTGTCAGGGGCTCTAACAGCAGCAGACTCTTCAAGGGGCTGGGACTCTCCTAGCAAGAAACAGAAACTGGGTTTGGTCAAGGACCAAAGGATACTTTAAACCAATAGGGCTGGTGTTCCAAAAAAGCAGAGTGCCAGAAACTAGAGCCTGTTTCCCCCTCCACCTGCCCTCTGCCCTTGATGTCTCATACTAACTATGCCCACCACTGCCCTTTGCAGCCAAGCTCTGAGAACGACCCCTAGTGCTGGACAAAGAAAGTATTGCCCAGTGCTCCCCTGTCCCCTGGTGGCCAGTTCTATTGGCACCAGTTAGCATTAACTAATGTTACCAGAACCTGGGCTCCTTTAGGCAAGGACTGGATCTTGTCTTTCTCCTCTGCATCCCCAGAGTTGAGCACGGTGCCTAGCCTGTAAAGGCATTTAGTTGGCTGGATGTCTTGCCTCTCAATCCCATCTGTTCACTACCACTCCCCTATTTTGTTTTTTTGTTTTGTTTTGTTTTTGAGACAGAGTCTCGCTGCTGTCACGCAGGCGGGAATGCAGTGGTGCTATCTCCGCTCACCGCAACCTCCACCTCCCGGTTTCAAGCGATTCTCCTTCCTCAGCCTTCCGAGTAGCTGGGATTACAGTCGTGCACCACCACACCCGGTTAATTTTTGTATTTTTAGTAGAGACAGGGTTTCGCCTTGTTGGCCAGGCTGGTCTCAAACTCCTGACCTCAGGTGATCCACCTGCCTTGGCCTCCCAAACTGCTAGGATTACATGTGTAAGCCACCGCGCCTAGCCCACTCCCCTATTTCTGAGTGCCTGGATATATCTTTTCCTTATGCCTGAACCCCCACCATCAGTTACCCTTGGGTTTGAAGAGCAAAGATTCTATTTTAGAGGCTGCTATTATATAGGATTAAGTAGGTAACCCCTTCCATTAACAAAGCTTGAATCAAGGGAGGGGTGGCAGCCCTCTTCTCTCCAGCCACGCCCACCTCCCAGATAATGCCGCCATTCTCCCTACCTTTCTCCCAAAGCCCATGGCAGGTATCACCAATTGATCACAGCATTCTAGTTGAACCCTGATCTTTCTCAGCACTGATCAGGGTTGCATGAATAGATGCTTATTTGCCATGGTGGGATTAAGACACCCACGGACAATTGTACAATTGGATACAATGAGTATGTATTCGTAAAAGTTCTGTTGTAATTAACACATTCTTATTCAACTGTGTGATGTAGTTCACACATCAGATGAGCAAGATGAACCTCTTGTGGACTCTGAGGGACTGGGGCACAGGACAGGGTTTTGATTGGAAGGTGAGAGAAATCTGAAGGGGAGCAAAACAGGTTGGAAGCACAAAACAATTAAAGAGACTTCGAATTGCTGAAGGGAGCCACTCAGCCTCCTTGCTCCCTCCAGAAAGACTCTGAAGTAGGCCACTACTTTGCAAGAGGGAAGGTCAGACATGGGGAAATAATGGAGGAAAGGAAGGTAGAATCAACTGCTGGCCACAGCTTGGAAAGGTTCAGGGTTACCCAATCAATAGTTTCTGTATAACTATGGGCAGCTATTGTCTGTACCTCAGTTTTCTCCAGTTTTTTGTTTTGTTTTGTTTTGAGACTGTGTCTCACTGTTTTGTCACCTAGGATGGAGGGCAGTGGTGCGATCTCGGCTCACTGTAACCTCTGCCTCCCAGGTTCAAGCAATTCTCCTGCCTCAGCCTCCCCAGTAGCTGGGGCTATAGGTGTGCACCACCACACCCGGCTAACATCTGTGTTTTTAGTAGAGACAGAGTTTCACCAAGTTGGCCAGGCTGGCCTCAAATTCCTGACCTCAGGTGATCCACCCACCTTGGCCTCCCAAAGTCCTGGGATTACAGTTGTGAGCCACCGTGCCAGGCCTTCATCCTGTTGAAATTATTCCTTTTAACCCTCCAGGAGGGAAAACTTACTGTGTAAATGTATACAGCCTGAGAGTATAAATGACAGGGAGACAAGCTTTACCCAGAAAGCTGAGGCTTCTCCCAGGGTAGCAGGGGCAGGGTAGCCTCCTGTAGAAGAGGCATCTATAGGGACTGAGCTGACCAGCTTGACATCCCTTGGTCCAGAATCTATGGGCCCTCCTTCCTAGGACCACCGAGGCCCTGTCTACTGGGGTTGTAGTGTCTCTGCCTATCCAAGCTGGTGATTTCAGAATGGGTTGCAAATTGGGAGAATACGGATGAAGAAAGAGATGCTCCGAGACCTGGGACTTTGTGGGCAAAGAATTTCACTCGGCAAACTGTGTGGTTACTGCTCTTTGCAGGGCATCTTCATTTGGGGAAAGACATGAAATGGTAATGGCCAAACCCCCCCTCACCCCCACCACCTCCAGGCCGAACACCGCAGTGGGGGGAAGATGCGTAGAGGTGGGGGAAGAAGTGTGCAAAGAAAGGGCCTGGATGGGTGGGGGTCCCAAAAGGACCTAAGCAGCAGGAGACCCCCAGGAGTGGGCTTTAGGCCCAGCAGCTCCTCCTTCTCAAGGTGAGTCCAGAGGCCATTCTGGAGTGGGCCTGGGTGCCAGGCCCTGGGTACTCCTTTGGGTACCAGGCTGGCCTCCTGATTCCTGAGGCATTGACTTGGCACCCCATAGGGGACTGCCCTCCTCCAGGCCTGGCACAAAGCCAGGGGGCTAAGAGCAGTCTGCAGGACAGAGGGCAGAACCACAGCAGGGAGGGGGCTCCCATGCCAGCTCCTCCTCATGCCATATGAGGCCAGGCCTGTGGCTCGAAGCCCCTGAGCTGGGCATGCCCTGAGAGTCTGGGACCGTCCAGGGGCTGAATCTTCATCCTCAGCCCTGCGAAGCCTTCTGCCCTCCTCCCAGGGTCCGTCCATTCCTTCAGCTCCAGCGCCTCCTCCACACGCCCATGCCTTCCACCTCGCCACATGGAGCATAGCCGTGCCCCCACAAACCAGAGGGAACAACGGAGCTGGCAAGAAAGAACAGCAGTTAGAGCAGGGGCAACACTGGGGAGAGGAGAACCTATTATGAGCTGGGCATTTTACACCAGTACTTCCCAGCCTTTTCCATAAACATGGAAAATATGTTTTGCATACATACTGTGGTCAAGGGAATCTGCTTCCTCCCAGGCCCCCAAGACCTGAGGATCAACGTGGATCAATCCTCAGCACAGGGGCCTGCCTTATACCCCACTTCTCAACTAAACCCTTACTACAATGTGGGAGGGCATTAACAGGACCATCAAAGTGGGGCATGGCATTAGATGGGGCCCCAGGCTCACTAGGACTCTCTATTGTTGAAGATGCCTACAGACAAGTAAGGTCACCTAGGAGGTGGTAGTGGGGAGAGGGGGATCTAGGTTTCCACTGGAAAAATCAAGGCTAGAAGGAAGGCTAAATCCTTTCTCGGCGCTACTCCTACTTCTCACAAGAAGGGAGTGGCATCTGGGGAAGACGGCACAGGGCTGAGAGCCAGGGCTTCTAGATTCTATTCCTGGCCCCTCCCCTGGACCTTCCTAACCACAAATCCGCCCCCCACTCCCTGCCCTACTGCTCATAGAGGATTAAGACATCACAAACAACTCATGACCCCATCCTACACTCACCGACCCTGCCCCAGTGCCCCATGCCCTCCTCCAGCTTCTCCTCCCCTGGCACAGCCAGGCCTGACTGGCACTCAGGAGCAGGTAGACAGCTAGGCCCCCACCCCTTGGCATCAGTGGCCTAGCCTCTGGTGCAGTTGCCCATCCTCCAGCTCCCTTGCTCTCCCAACAGTGAGCCCTAGGGCTCAAAACCCACTGTCAAGAATGGGGACCAAGTGCGGTGGCTCACACCTGTAATCCTAATACTTTTGGGAGGCCAAGGTGGGCAGATCGCTTGAGCTCAGGAGTTCGAAACCAGCATAGGCAATGTGGGGAAAAACCAAATCTACAAAAAAAAAAAAGCCAGGCATGGTGGCGTGTGCCTGTAGTCCCAGCTACCTGGAGGGTGAGGTGGGAGGATCGCTTGAGCCCAGGAGGTTGAAGCTGTTGAGGCTGCAGTGAGCCATGACTATGCTACAGCACCAGCCTGGGCAATACGTAGAGACCCTGTGTCTCAAAAATATATATATAGGCCGGGTGCAGTGACTCACACCTGTAATCCCAGCACTTGGGGAGGCCGAGGCAGGCAGATCACCTGAGGTCAGGAGTTCAAGACCAGCCTGGCCAACATGGCGAAACCCAGTCTCTATTAAAAATACAAAAATTAGCAGGGTGTGGTGGTGGGCACCTGTAATCCCAGCTACTCTGGAGGCTGAAGCAGGAGATTTGCTTAAGCCCGGGAGGCGGAGGTTGCAGTGAGCCAAGATCACACCACTGTACTCCAGCCTGGGTGACACTGCGAGACTCTGTCTCAAGAACCACCACCACCACCACCAACAACAACAAACACACACACACACATACACACACACACATACAGGAGGATCTGGATCCCTCAGGCCCAGTCCAGCCAAGCCGGCCCACTAAGGCCCCACCTTGGGGGCCGGACTCCTTGGCTCTATTCCTAAGGCTTGATGGTGCCTTTGCTAACTGGGAGATACTGTCTTTCTACATCAATTCAATGCTCAAACTTTATGACAAGCATTCAACCTAGAGGGAAAGAGGGTCTGTCTCCGCGATCCGCGTCCCCACCCTCGGTTGTCCCCAGCTGCCAGAAAACCGAAGTCCAGGAGCCCTGCTCTACGTGGAAAGCAGAGGCCCACAGCCTGGGGCAACGTGCAGGCCAGACTCTCTCTACTTCCTTCCACCTGAGTCAGGGCTGAACCAACTTGTAGGAAGGCTCATCTCACCCAGGGGTCCCCCTCCCAGGGCTTCCATCTTCCTCTCAGACACCTGGGTCACATTCAGGACCGGCCGACCTGGCTGGCACCTCAGGGCAAAGTCCGGATCTGTTGGGTTGGCCACTGGCCCAGGCCTCCCATGCCCTCAGTTGGCCCCAGGAACCTCCCCTAAGACTGTCCGACTGTGAAGTAGAATGCTAGTCCTCATTCTCTCTGTAGGGGAAAGATGAGAAGGGAAGAAGAGAAGAGGGTCCAGTCCCCCGGGGGCTTACCTGCCTTGACCTCAGCACCGAGGTGGTGGATAGCATGAAGGTAAGATGGTGCACCCAGTGGTTTAGGACACGAGGGTCCCGGTCCCGAGGCTCTGCCGGGCCCGCACTGTCTGGATGGCCTGCTGGTTCTTGAACTTGACCAGACCTAGGGTGATCTGGGCGTTCCAGCCCGGATCTTCCAGAGGGCAGCGGAAGTCGATCTCGCCGCCGCCTTCGGTCACCAGCGTGAAGTAGATGTGGCGCCCGGTGCTCTCCACGCACTCCACGGCCTTGATGCGGGCGAAGCTGAGCTCCTTGGGCCGCCCGCCAGTGCCTTTGGCTTCGAAGAGCTGCAGCCCGCGCTCGGTGAGCACGCAGCGCTTCCGCTTCCACAGCTGCAGCAGCCCGCCGCTGCGCTTCTCCAGCACGCCCTCCTTGAGCACGGTGGCCGTCGCCGCCGCCGTCATGGGCGCCCCGAGGTTTGCGGAAAGCTCCAGGCTGCGGCGGGCGCGGCGCCACTCTCGGCCCGGCAGCGCAGGATTCTGGCGCCCCGGGCTGGCTGGCCGTGCGCGCTGCCCACCTGCACCCTGACTGCCCGGCGCGCCCGCACCGCGGCCCTCAGCACCCAGCTGCCGATGAGGTGGCGTGGGTGCCCCCAGCGCGCTCCGCGCCCACTGCCCCGCTTCAGCCGGCACCGCCTCCTCTGCTCTACCCGAGCTGGCCCAGCCCGGCTCGCCTCTGCCGGGTGCCTCCGCGCCTCCCTAGCCCGTGAGCCACGCCGCCTGCCCGTTCTCTTGCTCCCCTGGGCTCTGTCTGCGCGCTGGGCGGCAGCTCGCGGGATGTGCCCTTACATGTTCCGCTCTTCGCCTCCTGCGCCGCCCGCCCGCCGCGCATTCCTGTCCCGGCCGGCCCTCCCCTCAGCGCAGTGCACCAGCTCCTGCAGAGCCCAGGGGGCGGGGCCGTAGCGGGGGCTCAGTCACTCACTGGAGGCGCAGGGCGCGGGGCGGGGAGGGCTGGGACTGAGAGGGGGCTGCTTACTCAACAACCCAAGCCTTCTGGCTGCCGTCTGCCGCTTCTCGGAACCGCAGCTCCCCCAAGCCTTGAATGAAGGGGGAGATGGCGGGGAAGGGCGGGGGGAAGGCGCATCTCCTCGATTGGAGAGAGCGCTGCTAGCCGGGGGTGGGCTTGGCGAACGCGCAGTGGCACCAGTTGCATGTTAGGCGTCAGACAGCTGCTGGCTACTTGGCAGGCCATGAGGCCCCCAGCCTCTGCATCAAGCCTATGTTGGGTTCCTCCTCCATCGGCCGATTTCTTTGTGCAGTACCCAAGAGAGGCTGTCCATCGCTGCCTCTGCTTGGACAGTCCACCTGCTCCTACTCCTACCCGCATGCACTGCGCGGGGAGGCCTGTAGAGAGTAGCCAGTGCCAACAAAGGAGAGCTGAGGCTTGAGGTCATTCATGCCCTCCTCATAGTGGGGGAGGAGGGACCCCCTCCGTGACCTGGGCATGCCACTGTCTGCGGTCCTCTCCACCGCACACACTTGCAGGGGCCGACGCTGGACCGATGGCACAGCCAGGCCCATGTGGAAGCGCAGCTCCAGCCTTGCTGCTTCCTTCCGCTCCGCAGATTCTATCCTCCCTCAACCTCCCCCTAGAATGGACTTCTCCTGGATACAGAACTGGAGGGGAACGCGGAGGGAGAGGTCTCTTTCTGTTCTGGCTAGAATATTGTGTAAAGACAAGAGCTTTGCAGAGTTGAGTTCAAACTTCTCCCTTGATTGCTGTGTCCGACCCACCTGGGGCAACTTTACTGACCTCCCTCAATTTCCTCATCTGTCGAATAGGAGGATTAATTCATTCTCATCTCATGGAGTTGTCCTGATGAATAAGTTAGATAACATTTGTGAAAGACCCAAGACAGGGCCTGGCAAATCTAAGTCTCGATAAATGTTCTTCCTTCCATCTCCCCACATTTATTCCCTTTAGAGAATGATGGGGGTCCTGAGATCAAGCTAGGCACTGGAAGAGGGCGCTCCTAGGTCCTCATTCTGCCCCTATCTTGGTCAGTTCCTCCAGGCCCACAGTTTCTTAGGGGCCTATTCATCAACATGTTAATAATAGATTCTTATAGGAGTAATGATATGTAATAATGACAGTAATAAGACCTCTTTGTACTTACACCCTGTGTTACCATCCTCCTGCCCAAAGAGCAGAGCCTAACAGACACAGGGAGGGTCCTGTTGTGGGGATAGGAGTGCCCTCCTCTGCAGCCCCAAAGTTAGGAGATGAGAGAAGGGAACTCTGTGTCTCATCCACAGCTCTTTACACACACACACACACACACACACATACGTGTGATGACAACTAACTCCTAACTCCCAGAATGCCCCTTCAGGAGAGGGAGTAGACAGTGGCATAAAAGAAGAGACAAAGACAGATGTCTCCTGAGGCCCAGAGGGCAGCAGGGGAGGGAGCTCGAGGTGGGCTGGTGCTGCTCCTCCCTCCCTGCTGAGATATCCCTACCCATCTCCTGGAAGAGGAGCTCTGACTTAACCTTCTTGGGACACTGGGCTGGAGCAGTGCTGGGCCCTAGAGATATTTACCCAATTCTCTCTTTTTTTTTTTTTTTGAGATAGAGTCTCACTTTATTACCAGGCTGGAGTGCAACGGCGTGATCTCAGCTCACTGCAACCTCTGCCTCGCAGACTCAAGTGATTCTCCTGCCTCAGCCTCCCAAGTAACTGGGATTACAGGGATGTGCCATCATGCCTGGCTAATTTTTGTATTTTTAGTAGAGATGGGGTTTCACCATTTTGGCCAGGCTGGTCTTGAACTCCTGACCTTGTGATCTGCCCACCTTGGCCTCCCAAAGTGCTGGGACTACAGGCATGAGCCACTGCACCCCACCACTTACTCAATTCTTATTGACTTGTTAACTCCACATCGGGCTGATGGACAAAATGTCCCCTGGTAGCAACCCAGAGCTGGCTCCTCTCTCTGCCCACCCCAAAGGGAAAGCGGATCTGCCCTGTCAGTAAATCTAAGTCCAGCTGGAACAGGCTAGACTACAAAATGGCCCCAGGGAAGAATGTGCTGGAAATGGCTCTAGCTAGGGCTGAGCCACACCACCTCCACACCTGTGTGAGAAGGAGGAAGTCCAAGTGGAGAGGAGGGGTCCCTCTGGGTGGCTACCCAGGACAAGGTGGAAAGAAAGATGGGAATAAGGTGGGATAGAGGCAAGAATGAGACCCGGAGAGATGCAAAAAGTAACATAGCTTTTGTTTTCTATATTTACTTAATCCTTTTTTTTTTTTTTTTTTTTTTTTT